TCTGAAGACACAAAGTAATATAAAAAAATGGTCAACAATAAATATATTTGTATTCAAACCCAAATTTAAATCACAAATAGAGAGAGAGAAAAAAAAATGAATTTAAGCACCGATTATAATAGGGGGTGAGTGGTGGTGAGCGGTAGTAATAGTGGTGAGAAACGGTGATGGTTATAGTGAGTGACAACGATCGTAAAAGTGGTGGGGTGGCGACGACGGTGGTTGTCATGATGATGGTGGGACGTTAGTGGTGGGATGGTGGTGGAGGTGGTGGTAGGGGTGGCGGCATCGATGGTGGAGGTGGGGGGGGCAATGGGTGTGGTTGTTGTAGTAGAGGTGGTGGTGACGGTGGTGATTGTGGTAACAGTGGTAGGGGTGGTGGTGGGGCAGTGGTGGTGGTGGGGTATTAGGGGTGATGGTGGTGAGGCAGTGAGAGTGGTGGTGGGGTGGCGATGATAAAAAAAAATTTCAAACACTTTTTTTTTTGTTTTTAAAAAAATTATAATTCTTAGAAGCACTTTTAAGTCACCTGAAATACCTTCTTAAGTATTTATTTTTTTTTATTAAATTTAAGGTATTAATATTATCAATCGAATTAACTTTAAATAAAATTTAAAGACATCTTAATCACAAAAAATAAAAATTATTTATTTTTTTAAAATTTAAATTATATTATATTTTATTATATAAATTATTAAACAATTATATACTACCCGATAAAATTGACATTGTATAATCGATACTTTTAACATTTACTCGTAATTTTGGGGTTGGGGGTAATTTGGTTTGCAAAACAATACAACAGAAGTCGTGCCTCCATTGAAGAAAAGGCTGCCCAATGCTGTCAACATCCCATGCAGAAAACACTGCCCAATGCTGTGCAACAATGGGTAAAAGAGCCTGCCTGCCTGCCCTCTACCAAAGAAATGAACAGAACACATCATTGCATTGGACTCCACTCCATGCTCCACCCTTAGTTCAAAATTTTTTACAACTCAGTTAGTGCATGATCAAGAGCGATTTTTGACTTATAAATAAATAAATTTTACTCGCACCCTCTCATTTTACAGGGTGTTATTTAAATTTACTTTTATATTTTTATAGGCGTGTCTTTACTCGTCGAGAACGTATCATACGATTTTCTCGTTTCTTTAAAAAAAAAAAATCTTAACCATGGTCACAAAATTTTGTTTTACCAAAGGAGTTTAAATGTCAATTTCATATAATACCATTATTAACATAATTGCATCAAATTAATATAAAACTAATATATAATTTCATCAAATTGATCTTTAATTTTGTTTGTTTAATGTTCAATTTTGTCTAATTAATATTTAATTTCATTAAATTAGCACTAAATTAATCATAAAATTTATTAAATTAACATTTACATTAATCAAATTAGCATTCACTTCATCCAATTAATATTCAATTTTCTTAAACTAATAATAAATTAATATTCAATTTCATCAAATTAACACCAAAGTAACATTCAATTTTTTCAAAACTTCATCAAATTTACTACTACATTAATATTCAATTCCATCTAATTAACACCATTTTATTAATTTAACATTCACATTTATCAAATCAACATTAAATTTTATCAAATTAATACAATTTTTTTTTCAAATAACATGAAATTGATATTAAGTTTTATAAAATTAGCATTTTATTTCAGCAAATTAACATTCAATCTCATTAAATCGATATTCAATTTCATAAAATTAACACAAACTTAATATTTAATTTCATCAAATTAACCCTAAATTAACATTTAATTTATCAAATTAACATCTTTTCCATCAAATCAATATGAATGGCCATTCAATTTTATGAATTTAATATTTAGTTTTATCAATTAATATTATTTTTAAAAATAAATACCAAATTTCCATTCTATTTAATTCAAAAAAAAATTGGTCGGAAAATATTATGTTCAATCCAATTAGCATTTAATTTAATTAAATTAATACTAAGTGGATGTTGCGTACTGCTGTAGGCTTGTTTTATATGACCAAGGATAAACTTGGCAATTTATAAGAAAATAAGGCATCGAAATTTTTTTTGCTTTGTCAGTAACAGCATAGGGTAGGGGTAGTTTGTTAAATGTATAGATAAACTACAGGGGTGTGCATCAGTTTTTCAAAAATCAGAGGGAGTATCAGAGAAATATGACTTAAATTTAGATAGTGTTAGTGAAATTTACCCTTTATACAATTTGTAGTTTCAAATTGGATAAAATATTTTTAATTGGATTAGAAAAAAAATATTTGAGATGTGCGTAAATTAATTTGAACATTTTTAAACACAATACAAAAAAATATATTTATATTTTTTTGATCGAATACAAAAAAATATATTCAATGTGCAAATCTTTGCCACATTTTTTATTTTGGGAAAAAATGATAAAATAAAAAAAATTTATCTAATATTAAATTAGCAATTTAGACTGCACATTTATAAAAATACAATAACAGTTACGATTAATTCAATCTTCATCAAATATTATCAAATTGTTAAAAAATCATTTAAAAGAAAACTTTTTATCCAAAAATATCTTATTTTTTGCATGGTTCTCAATGTTAAATAACTTAACCAACACACTTTTTTTTTTGGAAACAGAAAAATCTTATGACCTGTCCTCAGTGAGTAGAAGCGCGTTTATGTCACTCAGGCTCGTAATTCTGAGTAGAACTAAGGATAAAGCCCGGAGTATAAACCGGTCCCTCAACTCATACACTATTTAAATTAAGACTTATATTTCGCCAAAAACTCAAAACTCACATCAAAAATTTAGATTCAGTTCGTTAAAACAATTGAAATCTTATCCTACCAAACAACCACGCTATTGCGCCAAGAGATTTCAACCCCTGACTTTTCTCACCGGAAAATCAGAGACTCTGTCAAACTGAGTTGCCCCAGTTGGTTAATCAACATATTTTTCAATGTTAAACAATCCATACTAATCCGCGCCTACTTTTCTCTCTTCTTTCTCCCATACTTCTCTCTTCTTTTCTCTGTACAATTTAATAAGTTTTTTAAAAAATATAAATTTCATACAATCGATACACAATTTTTAGCGGTATGGACGTGTTTTTATGTATGAGTTGCCGTACACTAAAGTGCCATAACTGGACTTTTTGTTTTTGTTTTGTTTTTTTTGTATTTTTGGTTTTTGGGACAATTCTTTATTCCTTGCTTGCTGGCTCTGCCAAATCTAAGCTGCAAACTGCGAAGTTGTTGTCAATGCTTCCCACGTCATCGTCACAATATCTCATTGATAGGGTGTTTACCTTACCCGCAGGGGAAGAAATATATTATTTTATTTTCTTACCTGATATTTTATGAACATGATATTTTACAGAAGAATTTTTTTTTGACCTATCCTATCCGACAGGTCTTACCTGACTTCCTATCTGATTAATCGGGAAGGAAGCAAATATTTTTATAACAATTAATTTTTGGATCATTTTAACAATTTAATTAAATAACATGCACTATTTATTTAATTTTGTGCATCATCACTACCCTTGGTTCCAAGGCCATTCCAACAAAACACCAGCCACCATACCAGTACCATCCAGAAAGAAATATATTTGAGAGAGAAAGTTGGTGTCTGCCCTTTAAAAAAAAACATATGCAAACAACATCCACCCAGAGACTATATTTAAGTTCACTCGTAAGTATACGCAAACAAAATGACAATAGTCAGATCTGCAACATAGGAACAAAGACCATGCCATCACGATCTGCAACATAGGATAAAACCTATGGATCTGCAACATAGGATTTGCAACTCAGATCAGACGCGATCAGATCGCACATTAATCTGCAACTCATGACTAAATCGCGCACAGCAGCACCGATCTGTTACTGTAGATGAAGGTCTGCGATCAGACCTTCCAAGTCAAACCATACCAGAGAGAGAGAGAAGTCTGGAACGATGAAAGTAGAGCAGTAGAGAGACCGAGTGAGGTGTGAGGCGCAGACACTCTTGGGACTTGGTAGAATAGGGTTGTTTTAGTTTATATATATATTTATTTATTTAAAAAATTATTGCGGGTATGGTAGGATAGGAATGCGATTCCGTATTTCTACTAGAAAATTGTCAGAAGATCAAAAATTCTTCCGTATTCCTACCCAATATTTGCGGCTAGCCGTTCAGTATAGTAGGGTAGGGTTGAAACTTACGGCCAGTCAGAAATTTGAACACCTCTACTCATTGATATACATCAATAAAGTATTCGTAAGATAATAAATTAATAATAATAATTTTAAATAATACAATTTATTTCTCAAGTATTATATAGAGATTTCTAGGAAAAAAATCAATTTCATTGAATTCTCAAATTCTATAGATTATGAGCGAGTTTGAATTAACTCGAAAAGGTCCCTTATGCTACCAAACAGTTATGATATCTATAAAAACATTCGAAGAGACGCATCATAATATTCTTTTTAAAGACTACAAGGTGTGAAAGTAATAGGACCACAACAACAACGACAACAAGAAGAACGCGAACATTGACTTGTTAATTGAGCAAGCCATGACATTTTGATCGCCTCTTTAATAATGCTTTCTATAATTCTATTGATATAACTACTACAAACTCTTTCATAATTCTATCAATACATATAATTACAATATAAACCGCTTAAATTTCGACTCTTATTTCCAAAATCCCGTTATAAATTACTTTTCCAACACTCAAGCTAGTTTTGGAGTTGTTTTGAAGAATAACAAGGTCACATTGTATAAGTTGTTTTAAGTATTACATTAAGGAAATCATCAAAGATTAATTTACAACAAAAAAAAAACCTGTTTTCTCATTTAAATAGGGACTTCTTTAGAGCTTCTATCAAAATATGATGTCTTACTTGATTAGCCTTCATAATAGAATAGTCTCAGCCAACAAACTTGTGGCAACAACGTAAATTCGCAATGCATGCAATCACGCCTAACGCTACGGGTCAACCAAGACATGAATTCACATCTTCAAGGCATAAACAAGGGAAAAGAGATTGCATTGCCACAGATTCTTAAACCAGCAATCAAGAAAGGAATATCTTAGAAAATCACATTTACAAAAAGCTAAACTAAGAACATCTGTGACCTTCAAGTTTGAACACACAAACTTGATTCCTTCCTCTTTCTTCCTTAAACTTGCATTAAACAAATCCCAGAAAGTACAGGTTTGAGACCATTTGCACAATTAGCAAAAGGGATAAAAACCACCATAGATCAACTTTTCAAGTACAAAAGCAGTAGAATCACAGCGAACTTCCACCAAATAAAACTCGGTTTATTCTTCGACAATGGAGGTGCTGAAGATCCTACAGACCTAAAGAAAACATGTATGTACACACAGGAAAATAAACATTCAGAATATTCCCAATTGAGGTGAATATAACCATGTTGGGATGATCAACTTACCCCGATGTGGAATAGTCACATTTGCCATAACCTGCAGCCAAAACAAGGGTATTTCATTATACAATAACATCACTCATCAAATTCAAACATTAAATTAAGAAAAATAATGAGATCTCCCTCCTTACAAAGCACTAATCCCAAAAGGGCAAATCATACTTTGATCCCTATATGCCACCTCCCTCATACATTGCCACTCATATCTTAGTTTTTGGTTGTTATATTTACGCCCATTGCAGATGTGTATTAGAAAATACCAACGGTCATAGTTGTCAAATCACATATCAGAAGGCGTATCACTTTTTAAAAATAGCGTATCGTATCGTATTATGTATTGTATATCGTAAGATATGCGCAATTTTAAATAATTATTAATAAAATGTATATATATATATATACCTTTGTAAAAAAAATCAGACTCATAATAATATAACATTTCATTAATAGTCCACAAATTATTTAAGTTCCCAACATAATTTAGTAATATCAAAATGCAAAAATCTCTAATTTAAACTTCTAACGTCAAATGTTTGAACAACTTTAATATTAATCAGGAATTTTAAATTCAATTGAACAATATTAATTATAGGTTTTATTTTTTTTTAAACCATAACCACTGAAATGCCGTTATTTCACTAGCTAATGATTTAAAAGTAAGTCCTGGAGTGAAATAATGTTATTTCAGTCCCAAAAAATCAAATAAATAAATAAATAAAATAGAATTTTCACGTATCGAATGTATCATATCGTATCGTACGTATTGTATCGTGTATTGTACAATACGGTGCAAAAATAATATAGAATTATGATACGCATCATTTTTCAGGTGTATTGTGACGTATCGTACGATACGTATCGCGTATCATATGATACTAATAACTATGCTTACGGCACGTGCACATTTTCCATCCAAAACATAACGGAAGTTCGATTGTAAGTCAATGTGAAACCAATTCAAAAATTTGAGGGTTCAATGTGAGAAAGAAACTCCATACTAGAGAAGTTGAAGTGCTCTGGAGACCGCAGTTTTAGAATACAAATTTGTCCTTATAAAAGTAATGGGTGGGTGTCTAATTGAAAATGTGTTCTCATCAGAAACAACTAGGGGTCTAGAGAATACATGACAGTTTTGCACTAATTTGTACAATGTGTTTCCAGTATAAAGTTAAGTATTGATGCTCAAGAAGCAACTTAAAGGAAGAATAACTTCAAACAGTCATGAAAATTAGGGCTAATCGCACTTTGAACCTTGAAAGATGCTCTAATCCTCAAATTGCACCCTCGATGTTATAAAAAAGCTAAAATGTAGCTCAAATCCAAACTGTCGCTCACTTTTCCGTTCTAACAACTAGTGCAAATATGAGAATAAGATGTGTTTTTCATACAGAAAAACTGAACGACAATTTGGGTTTGAGTCACATTAGAGGGTGCAGTTTGAGAAATTTCAACGTGCAAATTGAGAATTCCAGTATCTTTCAAGGTATAAAGTGTGATTTGCTTTGAAAATTATCCTATAGATCATTGTCATAAGTAATTACAAAGGCCAAAAAAGTCAAGCAAAAGTAATTCTAGCATTTACTAAAAGAATCTTGTAAATCATTGTGATAAGTAAATGACCTAATTACAGGGGAAGAAAAGCCAAGCAAAGGTGATTCTTACTTGGGTTATTTTTAGTTAAAGTTGCGGTTCCTCCAAAATTGCAAGCAATATCAGAATTCCCATTCTGCTGGTAATAGCTGTTAAAAGCAAACGAGGCATGGGACACAAGCGTGTCGGGTTCAAAGCAATGGCCACCGGATTGAATTGGACGACAATCTGTCATACCTAGTCCACATGCCCAGTCCAATGCATTCTGCAAATCAACTTGAGACACACCGGCCTGGGCAACACACCAAGTTGTGCCATCAAGGAACGTTGTGTTTCCTTCTGGAGGTGACAGAGTTGTGACTGGGATGGCTGTATCTGCCTTCTCTTGCACCATTGCTACTAGTGTAAAAGCTAAAAATTAAAACAAGGGAAAGAAGGACAAATTAGCAATTTTGATGAAACAGTAGATTACTAAGACAACAGCTATGCTATAGCAAGCGCAGCTCCGGATTTCTGCACGATTGTCACTCCCAATTATACATTACTCTAGCTAGCATCAATCATCACTGCATTGAGGTCAATAGGTCAAATGATCGAGCGAAGAAGTTTGGAAAATGTAAAATTGTTATATTCATTTAGACCATGGAATAAGCTTCTCTAAGAAAACACCCCCAAAAATTTAAACAAAAATCCAACCAAGCACGAAAATGTAACAGTAGGTAATTGTTGTACTTTCAACCGTCACGCCTATCTCCCAGGACATAAAAATGATGCTAAAGAGATGATTTAATGTTTGTTTTTCGAAATCCAGTATCATCGACTGAGGTGCACTTGGGAAACAAAGTGTGTTTTAGCATCATCTATTTTCTTCTCTATTATGTTACCTTTCCATCTAGTTCTCCATCCTACACTACAAGAATCATTCTTTATGTCTCACTCTTTTTTTATAGTTCTGCCTAAGATACCGAAAGAGACCATTTTGTTGGGAAGCATCAACATTGGACAAAGTCTTAAAAAATAGAAAAAAGTGGGCTTTAACTATGTCAATGCCGATGAACCAAAGCTAATTTACCTAGTGATTTGGGAACCCTCATTTTAATAACCATGCAACTCCTCCAAAGGAAAAACATATTGGGTGTAACTGTTACACTACATTAGTATTGTCACGTGGTGTAACCATCCACTAATCCACTAACAGGTAAACAAATCAGCAAATAAGCCCCAATTTTTACCTATTTCCCCCAAATGACAAAAGAACCATTTACCCAATCTTTTAACCCTGTGGTTTACCCATTTTAAGCATTTTCTTATATGTTTTAGCCCCATCTCCTTTTGAATATATTAACCAGGAATGATAATTTTAGTCAAGATCAACGAACTTGAAACAAGATCAACACAGAATTAACGATTTTGAGTTTAGCCATGGCGGATTCTGATTCTAAACTTGTGGGTATATTAGACCTGTATAATTAATGGACTTGGTCAATAATAACAAAGTGTCTCTTATATAGAATGTGATTGAAATATCTTGTACATCCCTAAATAGTATTGGCACTTTAAATTCCACATATCAACATAAGCAATATATTCCTAATGTCTTACACTTCCCACGTTGCTCTACTTGGACCATGATTCGCATTTTTGTCCTGCTAAATGGGGTAGTAATTCACATGGACGCTTGCATTTTTTATTTTTTGTAGGGTGTATGGTTTTTTTTTTAGGTTCAACAGTTAGGAGTGTCTGGATCATTTTATGTGCACTTCAACTAATCTCTTCTCAGCTTCAATAAAAAGGCAAGTCATCCACTCCGAGACTAGGATATTCATGAAAGTTTATCCCTCGAGGCCTCACACCGAGGAGTAGTTAAGATTCGAACTCAGGTTGTATGTTTTGTGTGTGCTCCAATACTTTGCAAGTAAAAACAAGTGAAATAGAATGTGCCAAGTCTGATTTCAAAGCTTCTCATGTCATCTTTCTGGGTGTAGAAGATAAACGGTAAAGTGAGGGAAAAATCAAAAAGAAGAAATTTTTAAGGAGGAAGAAGGGGATAAAAAGGAAAATTAATTTTCTCAGAGAGAAGGGACATAAAAAGGAAATAAATTTTTTGTTAAAATTAGGGACGAAAAATGTAATTTTTTGGTCAAAATTTCCATAAATTCGGATTTTTTTAAAGAAAAATGGGTAAAATATTCCCAAATCATCCCATTTCTCTCCTCTTCTTTCCCACTAATCCCCCAAAACAAGTGAGATGCCAATCCTCTTTCTCTCTCCAAAACTTTTCTTTTCTCTCAACATCTCTCCATCCAAACATTGTGTTAAGGTTAAGCATTTCTAAGTGCTTGAACATACTCATTCCTCTTAAAACCTCAACATTAACTCGAAGAAAGAAGTTGCAACTTTTCATGTAGGCTTTAGAGCTAAATGAAAAAAGTTCAGACATAATTTTCTCTAAAACAAAATGAAACAAAAACACAGTATTATTGGCTCTGAACAGCTTTAATATTTGTAAGAAAATAATCAACACAAAATGGAACCACACAAATCATCAAAATTAAAAAAAATACATGAGTAGCAATCGACCAAGCACTTGAACAATATACCAGAAAAACATAGAGGAGAAGAGAGAGAGAAAAGAAGGAAAAAAGAATCATACCCAGATAGCATTCCATCACTATAAGGCTATGGAGTATCCAGATTTTCTTTCTCATGGTGGATTGATTAGTCTTCACCTTCTGCTGAAAGCCTCTTTCACTTCAGACCAGCACTCTCTCTCTCTCATACAAAGACAAACACACTACAAAAAGTTATAGTGACAAGGACGAGTGATGATGGCTCTTATAAATGCAAGAGTATATGAAGAATCAAACCGTTTCTTGAGGGAAAATTTTCATCTTTTCTCTTTTCCCTGTGGTGTTATTTCTTTCTTCTCTCTTTAGTGGCCTTTTGGAGAGTATCAATGAATGCAGAGGAAGCTTAAGACACTTGACAGACAGAAAGACAGACTTAAAGAGAGCGGTGGATTTAATTAGAGTGTAACCAAAATAACTATATGCGCATATAGGTTCATGTGTCTGTGTTTATATGTCTGTCCAAAGCAAAGACCATTGGAAGGTGACAGAATCTGTTGGCTTTATTCATTGGTACTTTCAGCTGCTAATTTTTTTCTACAGCACTTGTGAGAGAGAAGAAAATTGGGAATTTTAGAACTCAGTAACTGCTTTAACTCTAATTTGAGAAAAAAGTTTTTTTTCAAAAAATTTCGAGATAAAAGTATTTTTTTTTTCTTATAAAGTTTGAAGTACTGCTCTAACAATCAAGAAACTAAGTACCCCTTCAAACATCTGTTTCGGACAATTCTTGAAACAAAACTAATGAAAAAGTGACCAATATCCTTCAAAATATGAAGTCGGTTATTACTGTAAAACGTATTTTCACTCATATATACACACAGGTAACTAAATTCAAATTTTAAATAGATTATGAATTTCTTAATTTAAAATTTTTCCCAAATTAAATTATTTCTCTTTGAAACTACTATATTATTTCTGAGTAACTTGTCACTTTATTTTTTATGTTGTTACATTATTTTTGAGTAACTTGTCACATTGTTTAATATGTTGTCACATTGTTTTTGAATATCTTATCACATTGATTTTTATATTGTTACATTGTTTTCAAAAAGAATTCAATTCATTAAAAAAAAAAAAAAAAAGAGAAGACGAAACTTTGAAATGGTGAAGAAAAAGTCAAAATTTTACTACACCAAAAAAAATAAAAATTACTACGGTCTATGTAAAACGAAAAGATTTTTCGAAGAAAATTGAAATATTGAAAAAGAAAAACTTTTAGTTCAAAAGTATAATGTCAAATGAATTGAAATCAGTATTTTAAAATTCAAATGATTGTATGTATCACAATAACACTATAAAAAAATATTAAAATATTTTTATATCCATTATGCATGAATCAAGGCAAGGATAATTAGGTAATATTAAAAAAAAAAGAACCTGAAAAGAGTACTTTTTTACAAATTTTTGATACTTATTTTGGATTTAAATACTTACATATTAAAACATGGAACTTATATCAAATTTAGACCTAAAAAGGGTACCCACAGCAAGTAATAAGTGATATCTTTTTTCAATGTATAATTGTTCATTGGTTATATATACAACTTGACTTTGCTAAGTACTGCTTTAAATTCATACAAGAATTTCTCATACTTGAGTGTATTTGTATAGGTATAGGTTATTTTACTCCATTACTTCCACCAGCAGAATGGATACTTATACCCTCATTTTGATTCCACTTTACATCCTGAAAATTATTTAATTCCTAAATTGCATCTCAATGTAAAGTGACCCATATCAAAACTGCACTCAACTTTTTCATTATAATAAATGGCGCAAATATGACAATAATCTGATAGTTTGAGTCTATACCACATTACAGTTTTTCTTTAATGGCATTGAGAGTGCAAGTTGAGAATTGAAATTTCTCATAGTGTAAATTGAGTATTCGAGCATTTTTTAAGGTGCAAATTTATATTTTCTCTCTTGAATCTTGATTATCCAAAAAGGAAAAATTCATAGATGCTTGATTTTTAGATTCATTTTCTAGATTGATATCTAGTGTTTCAAATTTTACTATTTTCTCTATAGTAAAGAACAATATCACGAGCATCTTCAATATTGGTCTTTATTTTAGAGAGGAATTAGAGAATTTATTTAATTAACAATTATTTAAAATAAAGAATGAGATATTGTAAATCTATATACTAATATAAAATGTCAACAACTCTAAAAAAAAATTTGTTTTTCTTCTTTTATCCTTATTTGATACTATAACGCCAAAATTGTCCCTCACTATACGAGTTACTGATCCCTCACTCATTTAATCTTAGACCTTATGTATTCTAAAATAACTACTGTATTTATCTTCAATGTATAAGTTACAATTTGAATATACTTAATTCTTTGGCTCTTCAATTTCATTGATGCCTATTAAAAACATCCAGTCCAACCTTTTGAAGTTTTGATTGATGTGCGCGATGAATTTTCGTACAATAGATGGAAAAAGACAGATCTCTCACTTGGTGAACTTGTTTTTACCCGAGAGTCGACGATCCTATGGCAAAGGAAGACTCAAGATGGCCAAAGGGGCTAAGGAGTGGTGATGAATTGCTTTAGAGGCTGTCTGATCGATTTTGGCGAGTCGTAGGTGATTTCTGACATACAGAAAACAAGTTAGAAGGGCGCCGGAGTGTTTTATGGCGTATTCCTTCTGATGATCAAGTTAGTTCTTTGAGAGAGGAAAAGAAGAAAACACTATTTGATATTCTTGAGAAATGAATTTGTGTACCTTTGTCTTCAGGTTTTTGCCACTATTTATACCTTCAAAGACCCATCATTGCCGATAGGTAGGGCAGTAAATATAGCATAGTCATTGGGCAGTGCACTTCCCTTTTTGCATGGGGGAGTCTCCGTTAATAAATGCTCGAGCTCCCGAGCATTTAATGCTCATTCGTCTATGCAAAGACATTAAATACTCGAGTCTCAAAGCATTAAATGCTCCTTCTTCTTGACTTTAAAAGCCATCATGGGCGTCCCATCATTCTGGGAGATCATTAATGCTTTTTTGGGATGACGGCATGTTAGAAAGGGTACTTCTGTCTTTTTACCCCTATCCTGTATATTATACCACTCTCTTTGGCTGCTGGTTTTGTTCCTTTTGTCATCTGGACTTCATTGAGAGAGTAACCCAATGATCCCTAATCTAGCTCTGAGACTGATTGGCTATGATAGTCAGTAACTCCTCCAAGAACCGAGGTGGCGTGCCCAAAGTAGGAGATGCCCCTTGGTGCCTTGGACATGTGATTGTTCCTCAGAGGAGGTGCCCTCGACGCTGAGGACACCTGGTAGTACTAGTGTTCAGGAGGTGCCCTCGGTGCTGAGGACACGTAGCAGTGTCAAAGTAAAGGATGTGCTTCGGTGCAAAGGACATGTGTAAGAACCAAAAGCAAAAGACGTGCCTCGGTGTTGGGGACACATGTCAGAATCAAAGCAAAGGGATGTTTTCAGTGCCGAGGACGCATGGTTTCATTAGGGTAATAAGCTGCCCTCGGATCCGAGGACACTTGTCAAAATCCTATCCCTTCCCAGAAGTGTCCCATCAACTGCCCCCAGCCCTTTAATCTTCGTACGGTCTGGGAGATGTGTCATCGGAAGATGAAAATGGCTCAGCCACCTAACCCTTGTGTAGCTGCAATCCCTTCTTTGAAGGTCGTGCGCATTGAATGCGCCCCTCCTCATGTCTTGTGCGCAATGATGAGGACAAGCTCTATATAAATCTATCCTTGCCTTCTTCCTCACACTTTCGAACCCCTGGCCTTTCACATAAGTTTTCACTAGAGATCCCATCGAAGTGCCCTGTTGTCTATCTAAAGAACCTACCATCTCTTCCAGACATTCGTCGAAGAAAGACTCCCAACTTCCATAGCCCATCCATTTTGTTTTTACCAGTGAGTACTGGTTCTGATTTCTTTTTTCTTTCCGTCATTTTTTCGGCGACCTATGGCTGTCCTCAGTTCAAACCCGGTGTCGTTCTTCGTTCGCCTAAGTCACTGTTAGTGTCCCTTGGGATTCCTTGTTAGTAAAGAGTCCCTTTTTTGTCTCTTTTACAAGAAAATGTTGAGATGTCGTCGACCTATCACCGAGGTCCAAAAGACTGGAACCTCTCGGTCGAGGAAGTACACCGTCAAGGGTCATCAACAAATTACCAATTTTAAAACCCTCTATGACATTTCGCACAGCATCGGAGTGGATGATTTTGATTCATCGCGTCACCGTCCCAACGTCGGCACTGAGGATGCTATGCCTTTCTATACAAAGGCTATCATGGAGGGCAAGATCAGATTCCCCCTCCATCCACTTCTCCTCCAGTTCTTGTCCCGATTTCGTCTCTTCCTGAGGCAGTGTTGTCTATACACTTTTATGATAATCATGGGGGTGGTTGAGCTCAACAGACGCCTCAAGGTCAATCTCAGCCACGAGGACATCCTCTTCTATTACTCCTTGCTAAGGGTGTTACCCCAGCAAAACTTCTATCTCAAAGTCCGGGACACTTCCATGTACCTTGTCACCCACCTTTCTGATTCCTACAAGAGATAGAAGGACAATTTGTTGGTCTTTAGCAGCGCCTGGGAGAGGGGGGTCAGCCTCGAGTACGACGGCTTAAGATACCCCAAGGAGTGGCGGATGAAAAGTATGTCTGCTTCTCCCTTTCTTCTCAGCTTTTTTAGTTTTTTGAATAATTTGTGCAAGTTTTGATGACTTAGTCACCGCCAGGGGGTACATCGGCCACGGTTTTGGTTGAGCAGCCCATGTCCTCTTAGACTACACTCCAAGGTACAAGAAGTACTCTTAGACCTCTCAGTCATTTGATCCTTCAAGGTGGTCAGAGCTCTTTCAACAAAACTTAGAGGAGGACCCAGATAGTGCCACTGAAGCCGAGTTAGAGGGAGGTGCCGAAGAGGCAGTGGAAGTTAGGGACCTTTCCACCACAGTCCACGCTGAGACCAATACATATGGGAGGGAGATTTGGTCAGAGTTTGACGTTCTTCAGAATCTAGGCAAGGATGACGCACTTGAAGTCACCATGTCTGGCCACCTTCGCATCAACCTTGCTTACATCAAAGAACGAGCCACCCTCAGAACTGCATAGGGCCGAGGCTCTAGTTCTAACGAACCCCTTCCTCCACCAAGGACTCTAGGTCCTCCTCCACCTCCTGAAACCAGCATTGCGCCACCGAGGTCAATAGGCTGTGGTTGGGGCCCCCTAGAGACCCTCGATCCAAGAAAGACAAGAGGATCAAGCAAAAACACAACGCCATCGACTGTGGGAGGGTAACTCCCGTCCCCCTGACATTTGTGCCATCAACAACATCAGCAACAACATCAACATTGACAATTATCCTTCCTC